GAATAGAAAGTCTTAAAGATAGAAATACAGTATATGATCAATTTTTATATGATCTATTTGAATACCAAAACTCATTAACCAAGGCCTTCTTTGTAAATATATCTATTTTGTGATTGGTGCAATCTCTCAATATAATTTTAATAAAGGAAGAAATTAAATATCCCTTGTGACAAAATGTATTAGACTGTTTTCTAAACAAACAAAATGTATTAAGTCTTTTTCTAAACACTTGTCTTGAAATATTTTTAGCATGCAATGTGAATTAATTTCAAATCCCGTATCAGTTATTTCCAGGTAGTGATCCAAAACTATAGGAAGTGGATACGAAACTGAACATGATTTGATGTTTACCTTATTTTTGCACCATAAAAAAAATCACACAGATAAACAAGGTATTTGCTTGTGAGGAATTGCAGATATTAAGCATTCTGTACACCAAATATTTCTATCTTATCATATTCTTCTCCAACTGCAAAAGTCTGCGGATCTGGTTTTAAAACTATGAGCTAAACCCTTTAAAAGTTGCAGGAGATTGTGGTGCCATATTGTTCTGTTACTGCCATGGATTAACACACTATACAATGAGATAATTTTACAGATTTATTTAAGCCTAACACATCCCCTGAGTCAGCCTGTGGCATGCCTCCTTACCCTTCACAAAATGGTACGGGAAGGCGGCTTCAATGGTGGAAACCATTAATTGGGAAAGACCAGCAATCCATTTCAAAGATGCAACAGCCTCTAAGAACAGCACACAGAACCCACAATACAGCTGGTGGCCCGAGTTCAGCCATGCTTTTGGTGAGAAAGATCATCTTAAACCAAGACTAGGTAAGAATGTAAGACCAACTATTTGGGGAACAAGTCCTTCTTAATCCAGCATTTGCTTCCTCACAATGGTCAGTCAACCACAAAAGGTCCCCCCAAAAAAGGATCCAGAGTGCTATCTTCCTCCCATCACTTTTTCCCTATTATTGGTATCTAAAGGAAGACTTCTCCAACCTGCAAGTAACATAGAGTCTTCAAGACAGGTAACCTTGGGTAGACTTCTCCTCCATGGATTTATCCAAGTCCCCTTTGAAAGCCATACAAGTTGATGGCAATCGCCACTTTTTCTGGTCACGAATTCCACAGATTAATTACGTGTTGCATGAAATGCTTCCATCTCTCTCTTCTAAATCTCCTTCCGATAAGATTTACTGGATGATCCTAACATTTTGAGAGAGGGAGAACACTTTTCTCCATCCACTTCCTCTACACATTGCATGATTTATACACATCAACTTTTTCTAAGCCAAGCTTAGCTTCCTGAAGATTTTGACTACAACCTTCTGCCCTTTTTCCCCCAGTTTTATTGCACCATCCTTTTCAAACTTTACAACCAGAACTGTAAATCACATTCCAGGTGCAAATGTATCCTAGATTTGGATATGTTCAGTATAACAGTTTCATTTGCAATCCTTTTGTTAATGATCTCTACGATGGAATTTATCTTTTTCACAGCTGCCATACTTTTGAGTTGACCTCAATTTTCATTCCTGGTTGGGTACAGAAAGTCCTGTTTTTGGTTTTCACCACAATCTTGACCGGTTCTCTGCTTAAACTCAACCAACACCACCTATGAACAAATTAAAAAGCTCCAGTCTCAGTTCTGTTTCCTGAGAAGAATGCCAATTAGTCTTCACTTTCTGTTGTTGAGTATGGTAGCAATCCATAAAAGGACAGGCCCACTAGTTAAGTGTACTCAAAAGCTTTGGATATTGTCAAAGGCTTTCTGCAAATTATAGTCAACTGAGACATTTCCATTCTGTACTTGTTGATACCGTAAAGTAACTCTAAAACCTGACTGATGCAAGATCTACCTTGCATAGACCATGTGATTTCCCTTCACCAATGTTTGTTCTTCTATGAGCTTATTCTCTCACATCAACTTGCCTACACGTTTAACTTACGATACTAGAGTTTCACAGGTCTACTCTGGGTTCCTTTTCAAAAGATAATGCCAGATTGGTTACCTCCTAAAATCTTTGGCACTGCACCTAATTTTTATATTTGATTTCTCAAATCTTGGCAACTTCTAAGACTTATGGACTTCAACTCCCAGAATTCCCCAGCCAGTCATTTCCCCACTCAGAGGAATTCTGGGAGTTGAAGTCCACAGGTTTTAAAGTTGCCAAAGTTGGACACCCTTGCCATAGTAGACCAACTGAGCTATTTTCTAGGATGTTGAGAAACATGGTTTTTTTCTCTGGCTTGAATCCACCTCAACTGTGGGGAACCTCAAGTCTCTCATGATTGTAACAGCTTCTTTTCCCAATTTCTTTCACTACCTTCAACATTTTGACCACCTGGGCAACAGCATATCCCTAAACATCCATCCATCCATCCATCCATCCATCCATCCATCCATCCATATCTATCTATCTATCTATCTATCTATCTATCTATCTATCTATCTATCTATCTATCTATCTATCTATCTATCTATCTATCTATCTATCTATCTATCTATCTATCTATCTATCTATCTATCTATCTATCTATCTATCTATCTATCTATCATATTCGTGGCCAGACAGTGCCTCCCATAGTGATTGCGTGGAAGACCCTGGTCTTCCAACATTTTCCACCACATTACATTTCATACCCTCTTCGATCTAAAGAACAAGACTTCCTCCAGTATGTCCTTCCCCATCAGCAAGGGGCTGCCTGGTGGGGGGAAAGCCTCGCTCAGGAAAAGCTGCAAATCTGGTCATCGGCCAAGGGAATAATTTTATGCCCCTGGAGGTTTCAGTGCCAAGCAACAAAGGAGGGATAATTAGACCAACACGCATGCCTTCGCCTTCTCCATCTTGTGCACAAGCATGCCCGCCCAACGTGAAATATTCCCCTTTCCCCTCAAAACGTGATGGTTGTTGAACTTATTTTTAGTGTCATTTGATAAGCTTCCCTGCTTGCAGAGAGACATCCCACTGACCCAGCCACTGGTCATTGTCTATACCGGTTCCCATCAAAGTAGGCGCATTTTGTCAGGTTTCGCCTCGAATATCCATTTTGCAGCTGAAGTACAGTATCGAAAGTGACTGGATCATTTGAGCCTTTTTCTTCAGCTGCTGCCTTCCTCCCCCCCATCCCATCCCACCCCACCGAGCTTCCTTTTACGCTAACACTGTTTGGCATGGCCGATGTGACACGACACACTTCCCCTCTCTCTTTTTGGGTAACGTTTACATATATAAAATTATAATACCTGCTTGGCCAATGTTTCCTGGTGGCTGGCACCCTACACGTGTGTGCTGTGGAAATGGAGAGGGGGAGGGAAAAATAAAGTATCTTGCCTTCTCCCCCTTTCCCCCCCCCTTTCTCTTGGTCCCACTGTTGAATCTCCACCAAAGCATGGTAGCCCCTCAAAATTGAGTGATGCGCATTACAGGGATAGGTCATTCAATGTCAAAAGGCATAAGAAAGATGAGCCAAACCTTCACAGGCTGATGCTTGCTGTTGCCTTTAATTATATTAATTAAACTTTGAAATTCTCAGGCAAAGAGAGAGAGTTGCTGGTTTGTGACGCTGAAGAGCCCTTGGAGGGTTCGGTGATGGTTGAGGCGGAGGGAAGAGAAAAGAGAGAAAGAGACGGAGAGAGAAAGAGAGAAAGACCCTGAGATGCCAGCTTTGTGGTGGCTGTTTTTTTTTCTTCTCTTTTCTTCATCCTATTACAATAATCCATAAGCCCAGAATTACTACGTATGTTTACAAAGGACAATGTTTTTATGCGCTACTGAGCACCAAGTGCAGAAAAGGGGAAGATACACAATTAGGCGCACTGCACAACCCTCGACGCCTCAGCTCCCTCAATCTCCACTCAAGACCTTTGGTTCCAGGCGGTCTTCCTGGAGAATAACGCTCTATTAATTTTTCTTCTTGTCCTGGGTGCATCATGTCCAAGAAAGGTGTCTCCGGAAACTGGAGGGCAAAGTTTTTGCTCGCCACCAATACCTTGAGGCACCACGACTACATTGGGTTGTACACGCGTACTGCACAGCGTCAAAGTGACAAGATTTTTAGTCAGAGGTTTCCCGTAAGGCACAATGTAACCGGGCGGCAGAGCAGGGGAACGAGGACTGAGACGCAAAGATTTCCATGAGATGACACCGCTGTAGGGCAATGGACTCCTTCCATGTTTGTTTGTTTTTTCAGCCCGGTGGGAATGTTGCTCTCCTCCTTGTGGTAAATACATTCATATTTAAATAATAAGTTCCATTCTTCGTGCCCTTAAAACAAGACCACTGCAGGGAAGAGGCCCACCAAGGCCTGGGTGTTAAAAATCACAAAAGGCCAACCTGATCAGGCACTTGTTCATGGTTTCTTATGCTGGATTTGCTGTGGAAAACTAGACACACGACGCCAAAATTCTTCACGTGGCCACTTGCAGAGTGGATAATACTGTAAGGAATACTGTATGAAGCAGTAAGCTGAAAGATAATGGCAAATGGAAAAGCTTTACGTGGCGATGGACTCCTTCCATTTTTTTTCCAGCAAGGTGGCAATGTTGCTCTCCTCCTTGTAGTAAATACATTCATATTTAAATAATAAGTTCCATCTTCGTGCCCATAAAACAAGACCACTGCAGGGAAGAGGCCCACCAAGGCTTGGGTGTTAAAATCACAAAAGGCCCACCTGATCAGGCACTTGTTCGTGGTTTCCTATGCTGGATTTGCTGTGGAAAACTAGACACACGACGCCAAAATTCTTCACGTGGCCACTTGCAGAGTGGATAATACTGTAAGGAATATTGTATGAAGCAGTAAGCTGAAAGATAATGGCAAATGGAAAAGCTTTACGTGACAATGGATGACTTTTGCAGAGCCAAATGGAATAAACGTCCTAGCTAAGGGCCAGGAGTTATTCCGAGGGTGTCTTCATAAGTGCTTCACTCAGTGTCTTCATTTGGTTATAATAAAAAAATATAATGGCTTTTCTTTTCTTTTTCTCTCTCCTTGTTTTACTGAGATTGCTCTCTGGTAAAGTTTATGCACCGGCCCTAAAAGACAAAAAAATAATAGTAATAATTAATTTGCAACACAGGAAAAAGATACTTCTAAAACGTTAGCAAGGTTAAGTAATGGCTCTATCCCAAAGGGTGATTTATACAGGAGGAAACAGAATATGCTGTTCTTGGCAACAAAAACTATCAGTGGTCATCTTTTGGAGCACAGGAAATTTAAATAAATACGCATCATGCCACAGGAAGGAAAAGAATCAATAAACAGCCTGGGACTATTTAAAAATGAATATTTTTCTCACAACTTTCATCTAGACTTGCTTACCATAATTGGGTTATAACTTGGATTACTGCAATGTGCTCTGCTCTACCTGGGGCTGCCCTTGCAGACTACGTGGAAAAGAAAGGAAACCCCCACTGAAGAAGAAATAATAAATAAAATCTTATCCTGCGCCGAAATGGACAGGTTAACTCTAGAGATTAAAAATAAAACTGAAACGGAGTATTATGAAACTTGGAAAAATTTGTACGATTGGTTAGAGATAAGGAGGATCGCTCAGATGATTATCCATTGATTAGTTGATATCGTAAGGACTTCTTATTAACACCTATATGAGGACACAACTGAAAGATATGTAAATACAACGTTGACGACTGAAAGATGGTTTACCAAAATATTTACAGATGTTATATGTACAGTTTGTTATACTCTGTCCTGTTATAGAATGTATTTTAAGTTTCTGTTTTTCTTTCTGTAACATAAGGTAATACTAATATCAGTGTTGTAGCCAGGGAAGTTGAATCATGTCCACTTCTGTTTTTAAATGTACATTTAATAAAATTTGAATAATAATAATAATAAAAAAGACTATGTGGAAGCTGCAACTGGTTCGGAATGCAGCCGTGCACGTAGTGATGGGGCCCCTCTACATTTGCCCATGTAAAACCTCTGCACTGGCTTCCCATTTCTTTCTGGGTGCAATTCAAGATGGCGGTCATCCCCCTTAAAGCCCTGTGTGGCACAGGGTTATACACAAGGAGACCCACATGTCCTATCAGATTAGATGCTCCTACTTCCTTCCCCTGAATATTGCCATCTGATGGGAGCTAGGAAGTGTGCCTTTTTCACGGCTGCCCCTGCCCTATGGACATTCTGGCCCCTGAGGTTTACCAGATCTTCACCCTCTTAGTTCTTCCATACAGCTTTGAAGATGTGGCTCCCCCCACCCCCACAAGTATTGGGGAAAGACTAGGATTTAGAATTCTTGACTTGGTGAAAGGTTTTACCTTTTGTTTTTTTAATGTTTTAATCAGTTTGGTTTTACAGTTTTAATGTGATTTTATACGTCTTTTTGAGTCTTTGATTGGGAGCCATTTTAGATAGATAGATAGATAGATAGATAGATAGATAGATAGATAGATAGATAGATAGATAGATAGATAGATAGATAGATAGATAGATAGATAGATAGATGGATGGATGGATGGATGGATGGATGGATGGATGGATGGATGGATGGATGGATGGATGGATGGATGGATGGATGGATGGATGGATGGATGGATGGATAGACAGAGATAGACACAGATATAGACAGACACAGACAGACAGACAGACAGACAGACAGCTAGCTAGCTAGAAATACAGATAGATAGATAGATAGATAGATAGATAGATAGATAGATAGATAGATAGATAGATAGATAGATAGAGAGAGAGAGAAACAGATACAGACAGACAGACAGACAGATATAGATAGATAGATATAGATAAGATAGATATAGATAGAGACAGACAGACAGACAGAAATAGACAGACAGATATAGACAGACAGACAGCTAGCTAGCTAGCTAGCTAGCGAGAGAGAGAGAGAGAGAGACAGACAGACAGACAGACAGACATAGACAGACAAAAATAAGTAGGTAGACAGACAGACCACCAAATCAGCCAAAGTGAAAAGTTACAAGGTGTGTGTGTGTGGAAATAAAAAGACTTTTTTCATATTGACCCCGCCTTTACACCTGCGAAGCTTTTGCCCCAGTGTGTCCATCAATAAAGGTGGAGATTAAAAAAAAAAAATCAAGATGGTGGCTACAATCATGTGATCAAAGCCCTACCCATTTTAATGCATACCCCTTTGCACCAATGCTTTTTTGTGGCCTTACCAGTGACCAACGAGAATCTTTTTATTTTTCCACTCATTTTAGGAAACTGTTTTAAAATTACCCAATATTGTTTTGCAGATGGCGTGTAATTTTACCTGCAATAACATCAAATGTTACTGCTATTGTTGTTGCTGATAATGGAGATGTAACTTTTATCAACCTTATGCTCTTGTTTTATTGTGTTATACTGATCCATTTTGTATCAGATGCTCTTAACAGATTGCCCAGTGAATATGGTTTACTGAGCAATCTGAAAAACATAATAAATAAAAAAGATACAGACACCAATGCATGCATGAAACAAGATTTTAGCCTAAGAAAAAGTTATCTACCTTCCTCTAATCATCCTTCAGAAAAGCTGGACTGCATTTCCCATCCACCCTAGCAACTCAGACATGGAAGGCCGATTTCAAAATCAAGATCTATCAAGGAACAACACATGCTGATTGGTTTTTTCTGCAATTCAGTCGCCTAACTCTGCCTCTTGACAAAAACTATCATGATGTGAATGCTGAAGTACTGTATATGTCAGTGGTCTTCAAACTTGGCCCTTTTATGACTTGTGGACTTCAACTCCCAGAATTCCTCAGCCTGGCTGAGGAATTCTGGGAGTTGAAGTCCACAAGTCATAAAAGGGCCAAGTTTGAAGACCCCTGCTTTATATTTTGTATTTCTTAACTATCCATCTCTTGGCTGAGGACCTGGCTGGTGAAATTCCATCTTACAGCCAAACAGTTGTAATTATATATTGTGTTCGCAGTGATTTCCTTGTCACAAGGAAATACCAGAAATGTCACAGTGAAATAACTCTGATACAGCCTTCTTTCAGAGGTGTATTCTCCGGAATACATCAACCAATTTAAGAATGAGACACTGCCCAATCTCCGATATTTTGATTTAATAAATTGGACTTGGCTACTGTCAGTAAGCAAATGTTGGTGTTAATAACTGCCCAGAGTCACTTTATTTTAATAAAAAATAAATAAAAGTAATAAACTTGAAATCAATGTCTCTACCTATGTGATCCAGTAAAAAATATTGGACAATTTCTCTTTTTTTTCTCGCCCTACTGTATCTGATGAATGAGCAAAAATACTATCCTTACGGAAGCACCCATAGTTTCAAAAGGTTTACTATATTTGAATATATGGCTCTTTTTTTTTAAAAAAAAGGCCACATTTCCAATTATCTATCAGACAGCGATTCTAGTGTGCATTTTATCACAGGAAGCCTAATGGGTCACATTCTTTAAATGCATCTTCCATTAATATAATCATGATTTGCACCATCACCCAGCAGAAGGCCTTGATTAAAATCAAGGGGATGAGCAGATTGTTCAGCAGTGAGAGCCAGATTAAACATGCATCATGGGCTGAGGAAACTTAGCCGATTTACATATATTAGTTGCATGCAATTAAGATAATTTGCACATGCATTGTGGGAGCAATTGCTGCACTTTGTCTATGAGTGTTTTTTGTAAATGGGAAGTAGGGCCCTGAACTTTGAAAAACTAAGGTTGCTTTTAAGATAATTGACATACAGAAAAGGGAAGGGAAGGGAAGGGAAGGAAAGTTGGAGGAGGAGGAGGAGTGCATATTACAATAGTGGGGAGACTGTACTATTTATTTTCAAGCATTCATCAGATGTCACCGATGGCCACATTTCCAAGCAAATGTAGATGGTCACCAAATGCTCCACAGGGAGTCTTCAGCTTACGACCACAACTGAGCCCCAAATTTCCATTGCTAAGCATGACAGTTGTTCAGTGATTTCCCCCCCCCCCATTTTATGACCTTTCTTGCCACCGTTGTTAAACGAATCGCTGATGTTCTTAAGTTAGCAACACGGTTGTTCAGTGAATCCGGCTTCCCCATTGACTTTGCTTGTCAGAAGGGGCCAAAAGGGGGAATCACGTGACCCCGGGACACACTGCAACCGTCGTAAATACGAGTCAGTTGCCCAGCGTCTGAATTTTGATCATGTGACCCTGGGGATGCGTCAGGGGTCGTAAGAATGAAAAAGGGTCCCAAGTCACTTTTTTCAGTGCTGTTGCAGCTTCAAATGGTCACTAAACAAATGGTTGTTAAGTCAAGGACTAGTAGCTGTATTTCCCTACCATCATCAAAACCACACACACAATCACACACACACACAGCTTCTTATAGCCTTTCAGGCTTGGCACTTAAGAATAGCATTTGCCCAATACTGGAAAAATGAAGATATACCATCTGACGAGATCATAATTAGGAAAATTTTAGAATGTGCAGAAATGGATAGATTAACATTAGAGATTAAAGAGAAAGAAGACTCAGTCTATTATAAAACATGGGAACACTTTTATCAATGGTTAACAAAATGAGAGAGTGAAATTGAAATTTATTAAGATAACTGGGTTTTTTTCTTTTGATTAATTGATATGCTTTATAATTTTTGCTATCCTTGTTGACTACAGTTACTGATTATTATATTAGCCCTGTGGAAAACTTGTATCCGGATGATAGTTTGCTTGCTAAAGCTTGAAATGTCTGTGGGGGCAACCCCATTGTTGTACCTACCCCCACTCCAACCCTTTCCTTGAACCCTACCCCACTACCTATGTTGACCCTCCCTTTCCCCTACCTCTATAAAACCTAAGAAAATATTTTCAAAAAGAAAAAAGAAAGAAACTTTTCCAATTAAACAGTGCCTGGAAAGCACATATTTTATCAAATTATCTTCAGCTACGCTATGCTTTTGTCACCCTCTGCCATCCAAATACCAGGCACATCAAGAGAAAGGTTAGAAGTTCAGCCTTGCCAACACCGTCTTTTCGGCTTCCATACAGGCAGTCCTCGACTTACGACCACAATTGAGCCCAACATTTCTGTTTTGCT